CCCTGGGATGCTTACATGAAGGGGAAAGGAGTCCAGGAGAGACTGCAGTATTTTAAAGAAGCCTTATTAAAGGCACAGGAAGAAACCATCCTGATGTGCAGAAAGAACAGCAAATATGGTAGACGACCAGATTGGCTTACTGGGGACATCCACGGTGAGCTTAAACACAAAAAGGAAGCTTACAAGAAGAGGAAACTTGGACTGATTACTAAGGAGGAGTATAAATATATTGCTCGAGAATGCAGGGGAGTTATCAGGAAGATGAAAGCGCAATTGGAATTGCAGCTGGCAAGGGATGCAAAGGGTAACAAGATAGGTTTCTACAGGCATGTTAGCAATAAGAGGGTGATCAGAGAGGGTGTGGGGCGCTTACTGGATGAGGGAGGTAACCTAGTGACAGATGATATGGGAAAAGCTGAAGTACTCAATGCTTCCTTTGCCTCTGTCTTCACGGACAAGGTCATCTCCCAGACAAACGCACTAGGCAACGCAGTATGGGAAGGACGTGGACAGCCCTTGATGGGAACAGAAAAAGTTAGGAACTATTTAGAAAAGCTAAAAATACACAAATCCATGGGCCCAGATTTAATGCATCCAAGGGTACTGAGGGAGTTGGCAAATGTTATTGCGGAGCCTTTGGCCATTATCTTTGAAAACTCATGGAGATCGGGATGATTGGAAAAAGGCAAATGTAATGCTCATCTTTAAAAAAAGGGAAGGACAATCCAGGGAACTACAGACCAGTCAGCCTTACCTCAGTCCCTGGAAAAATCATGGAGGGGATCCTCAAGGAATCCATTTTGAAGCACTTGGAAGAGAGGAAAGTGATCAGGAATAGTCAACATGGATTCATGAAGGGCAAGTCATTCCTGACCAATCTGATTAGCTTCTATGATGAGGTAACTGGCTCTGTGGATATGGGAAATTCAGTGGATGTGATATACCTTGACTTGAGCAAAGCTTTTGATACAGTCTCCCACAATATTCTTGCCAGCAAGTTAAGGGAGTATGGATTGGATAAATGGACTGTAAGATGGATAGAAAGCTGGCTAGACTGTCGGGCCCAACGGGTAGTGATCAACGGCTCTAGAGGTAAACTGAGGAAAAAACTAAACTGAGGTAATACTAATCTTACTTTATCTTCACTATCTTATACATCATCTTATAGCTGATCGTGTTAGATCATTAACCACAGCATCGCACAGGGAGCGCATGTTTGGCTGGTTATCCACCACGACTCCTATATTATTTCCAGACTCACTAATTTCTGAAACACTGTCTCCATCTGTCAGTATGATCCACATTTTGTATTTCTATTGTAGCTCTCAAAGATCCCAGGTGTGATTGAGGGATCCCACTGTGCTAAGCACTATAGGAACAGCATAATATGGCTAACCAATATGCCTTGCAACACTTTTTTTCAATAGCAGATGGCAGCACTCTGTCATTTCTTTCTTTCAAGTGAAAAGCATGTACACTCACTGGGTTTTCCACTTTACATTTACCAGTGTATAAGCTGCAGCTGAAAAGCCAACATGACACATATTTTTCACTGTACTAAGAAGCATGCCATGAAATTCTCTTATCTGTTCCTCAAGCTTCCTTTCTTTAGAATTTTCTCAATGTGGATTCTGAAACCCTTACACAAATTATCAATGTTTTATCTGTCACAGACAGAAAAAAACTACACTGACTATATTAGCATAATATATTTGTGGGCTTGATGCAGGAAAAGACTCAGCAATATGAGCATCCCAGGGCACCAAATTATTCAGGGTGGATGTTTTGGCCATTGTAAAAGGGGAGGGAGGTCAATAAGAAATGTCTGGGAACCCAACTTAATTTAGGGGGGAGGCAACCAACCTAATGGCTCGTGCCTCTTTGTGGTGGATGTCCAGTGAGAATACTTCATGGAAAAGGTATACATTGACTGAATAAATGGCCTGGAAAAAGATTTAAAAACAGGTGTTCATTAAAGAAACAAACAGGGCAGTTGGGAACTCTTACAAATTGGTACAGCAAGAAGCCAACCCCCCTATTCTTATAGCCCACCTTAATCCTCCTACATGGGGAGGTGGATGGTACGGTTCTGGCATGGGAAAAGAGAGGGAGCCCTCCCTAGTATGATAAAGTTCCAGCAATAAATTTGCAGGAGGGACCTGGATGGGAAAAGAGGGAGAGCTGGTGGGAGCCAGCTTACGACATAAATAGTGGATTCTCTTCACTCTACACTTTTGTCCAGTAGACCCAGACATTTAATAATAAAGTTGTGGCTTGATTAAACTCATGTCAAATGTCTCTTGTCCTTCTTTCAATATAGCCAGACAACAATCCGGTCAGTGTAGTTTTTCTGTCTGTAACAGAGGGTATGTCTACACTACCCTCCTAATTCGAACTTAGAGGGTAATGTAGGCATACCACACTTGCAAATGAAGCCTGGGATTTGAATTTCCCGGGCTTCATTTGCATAAGCCGGGTGCCGCCATTTTTAAATCCCGGCTAGTTCGAACCCCGTGCCGCGCGGCTACACGCAGCACGGAGTAGCTAGTTCGGATTAGGCTTCCTAATCCGAACTAACTGTACTCCTCATTCCACGAGGAGTACAGCTAGTTCGGATTAGAAGCCTAATCTGAACTAGCTACTCCGTGCTGCGTGTAGCCGCGCGGCACGGGGTTCGAACTAGCCGGGATTTAAAAATGGCGGCACCCGGCTTATGCAAATGAAGCCCGGGAAATTCAAATCCCAGGCTTCATTTGCAAGTGTGGTATGCCTACATTACCCTCTAAGTTCGAATTAGGAGGGTAGTGTAGACATACCCTCTGTTACAGACAGAAAAACTACACTGACCGGATTAGCACAATACATGTGCGAACTTGATGTAAGGAGAGTGAGAAATCCAAATCTGTCTATAAATATAAGGTCTTGTCTTTGGATCTTTGGCATGGTGGAAAAATACTGAAACTCAAAGCCAGACTGCTCCCTCTCAGTGACCATACCATGGAATGATTGGGCCTATCTGATAGCACTCTCCTCTTGTAGGACTAAACTGTGTCTTGCTAGTTCAGTTCATTCTGAGATTTCTCAATGAATCCAGGGAAGCTATTTCTCAGCGGAGATAGTTTCTTTAATTTGAGAGCCTTCTTAATAAAACTTAATAAAACTCTTGCAGCTTCTTACTTCCAAGTTTGTGCACACCTAACGGTTCTTTGCCTCAAATTAGTCTCTTGCACCAGTAAATCCAGTAGCCACATTCCCTGGCTTTTATCTGAGAGCCTCAGCAATACAGTTCTGCTATCAATCTCCCTTTCTGATCATTTTAGCTTTACTGGAGCAGTTCCTTTTAGCACTAAATTTCATAGGGGGTCATCAGGGCAGAGCTTCTGACCTCTCAATTTCCTCAAAACTGTGGCAATTCCTCTCTCCCAACTAAATCCCTTCTTGCTGGCCTCAGAATATAAGGGTCAGCTAATTAAGTTTCAATTCTTTCTCAGATGCAACAGGCCAGACTAACCAGACAGGTCAGCTTTGGGCCTCTGACCCAAAGTATCCTTTATTCCTTTTAGGGATGTTAAATTGTGGATAATTAGCTAATTGAGTAGTCTATGGAATTTTCATCGACCACTCAATTAGACAATGGGAGGGGAGAGGGGGTGCTCACTACCCATGCTGTGGCTCTGCAATTTAAATGTAGTAGGAGTTGGGGGGCAGCCTGGCTCCTACTACATATAAACTGCAGAGCCTCAGTGGCGTTAGCTCCTGGGGCAGTGCGAGCTGGGACTGGGCAGTCCTATCTTACGCAGGCTCTGGGATGCTGTGACTCTGCCTCACCTGCCCTCCCCCAGCACCGTGGAAATGGTACTGGGGGGAACTGGCTGATCCTGTTGCCCCCTTGATACCTCTGACACTGAGGCAGCAAGGAAGGGGGAAGCGAGTAGTCGACTACTCCCTTGCATCTCTGATTCCCTTACACATATAGAGGTGGAAAAGATTTAGACTAGAGGATCTTCTATTTTGGTGGAGTCCAACTTTTTTTTTTTCATTTATAATTTTTGAATAGAGGTGGGGATCTCTGGAAATCTTAGACAAAGTCTACAGAGCCCCAGCAGTCCATGGACCATAGGTTGAATGTAACTGTTCCAGTTCAATTCATGGGGGTTCAAGTTATTTCTGCCAAAATTAATGAGAACGTAAACTTACTAAATTGACAGCAGATAAACCAATTTCACAGGGCAATAGCAACAAATAAAAAGGCAAGCAATTAGCTAAAAGAGTGGGAGTGCATGAGTGAGAGAAAGAGAGCTGTGTATGCTCTTTTAGGCCCTTGTTAAGCATATACTCGTGCTTAAGTGATATGCTAAATAAGAATTGTAGATTTATATGAAAAATGCATAGAACATCCATAATTGAAGATTCAGTTTTTGGAGGATGACAGACTATCAGCAGTGCGTAGAGGCTGCTATCAGCTGTTCCAATGATTAACTGGCTACATCTTTATAGATCTACAGTGCAGGTCACTTTATAGATCACTAAACCATAGAACCAAAAGGCATGCCTACACAGCAGCGTTATTTCAGAATGTCAGTTATTCCGAAATAATGTAGTGCGTGTCTACACAGCAAGCCTATTATTTCTAAATAAAATTTTTAAAAAAATGGGTTTCTTACTCTGACTTCTGTAATCATCACTGTATTAGGAGTAAGGGAAGTCAGGGAAGAGTGCTCTACTTCAAAATAACTGCTGTGTAAATAGCACCAAAAGTCAAAATAAGTTATTTTGACAACGCTACGCAATTAGTGTAGGTCAAGTTGCATAGCTTAGTTTGAGTTTAGCTCTGCTGTGTAGATGTGCCCAGAGAGTTAAAAGGGACCACAAGGACCATCTAGTTTAACCCCAATGATTTTTGCCCCTTCTGTTCCCCCTTAGAATATCTGATTTATTGGTATCTGATTTATTTATACTTTCCTCTTATTTTAAAATGTTGGCAAAACCTGAGATGTTTATATTAATATGTATAAATAATTTATTGAATAACATATGCAAATGAATTAGCTATGTTTTTCCATATAAAGATATTAATGATTTTTTTTTTTTGCAATTTACTATATTAACTGTCTATTCCATTAAAATCTAGATATTGTGATGAGGGGCAGAGGAGATTATAAAAAGAATGCAGTACAGTGGTTTCACTAATCACACTGTGTAATATTTAGTCTCTGAAAACTTAGAACAGTAGTCGATGTAACTCAAATCATGATAATGTGATATAATACAGTCATGTGCAGTAACAGTAATATTTCATATACTATCAATACAATTTTTTTAAATACAGCTTTAAAATAGACATGTCAAATGGGTACATCAAAATCTTGTTAAGTTAAAAAGTTAAAAACACAAATAAAATCTTGCACAATATAATAGAAGGATATTCCATCTTTAATTTCTGGTAGCACACTCAAGCTACACCTATTGATTCATGTTGTCACCAGGACCACTGGATGGAATTATTTCCAGGTATCACATTGTTCATCTGTTCTTTTAATATAATTTAGTTTTAAAAGCATGATTACTTTAAGCAATTCTTTATAATAAAGAAACACTGTCAAAGCTGGTGGCCAGTAGGTATTCTTTTTTTAAACCTATGCTACTATGGTATATCAGTTTCCTCTTCTTGTGGCTATCTGCTCTGTATTTGATTAGATCTCACAATGAAGTGAAGGGAATCAATAATGTGAGTACTTGCAAAGAAAAGATGTAATATGTTTTGGCTTTTTTGCTACAAGGCTGCAAACTGTTTAAGATTAGTTCTGAGTTCCGTGTGGCCCCAAACTCCACGTAAAATCAACTGGAGTTTTCAGTATGCAAGAATTTCAGGACTTCCCTCTGCTTTGCCTTCTCTTTCCTTATATCTGAGATATTTTTAAATGACAATAAATAGGACAGAATTTGAGGATTTTTTTTTACTTCTAAGGTAGATGATGATATCTTTAGCTTTCCAGCTTTGACGGTGACTGTTCATAAATCTTTGGAAAAGTAAATGTAAACTTTAAAACATTCTTATATATTTTACTTTTACATTCCAATTTGATTTGATAAAGTTCTAAACTTTAAGGACAAACTGACTTACAAGAAAATATGTGTGGAACAATTTACCCTTCTTCTCCCAAATATATTAAACAATGACATAGAAAATAAATTTTAAAATACAAGCTGAGATAGCTGGTTTATACTTCTCACATGAATACGTGACAAACAAAGCGTGGTCTTTTGCTAACATTATCTTACTAGATTTGTAATACATTAATACATGGTAAGCAGAGATCCTATTTCTGTAACAAGTATATTCTGACAATATATATTTTATGGAATAAATATACTGTATATTAAGTTATAGATTTTAGAATAATAGCTATAGTAGATACAAGCAATACCTATATTTAAAAATACGTTCTAGGATTCTCTAGCCTGACACTATTAAATTAAAGTAGATCTAAAATTGCCTCACTCTATTGATGCATAATAAAATATATGGAAACATCAAGAGTAAAAAGCCAATTGCTCCAACAACTGAATAGTTTATAAATATAGTAACTTGCTATTTTCAGGAAAATGATATTATAAACTGGAAGTTAGATTAAAACAACTCTATAGTATATAGTAAAAAGAGGTTATGAAGTGTGATGTGAGAGTTTGTTTTATGCTTGTGGCAAAATTTTGAGCAGATGAAGTTTGGTCAGTGGACTATAAGTTGTTCATTTCTGGAAATAATTGCAGAGAAAGACTTCACCTTCATTAAAAGCCAATCTTGACCTCCTTAAGTAAAACACTGATCTCAGTGAACTAACAGGCCAGAATTTTGTTAGAATAAGGAGTGTAAGATTGGATCTTACAAAGATTTATTCATAAACTCCAAAGTTCTCTATATTTCATAGTGTTTACTTACCATACTGCTCATTAGAAAAAGTCATAGAAATCTTGTATCTGAGACTGCAGCCTTACAAAGAAGATACCAGGTGTTTTGTGGTTCTTAGTAAATTATTCTTGCACCACGTATTCATAACTTCTTGGTAAGTTCAGTTATTGTGTTCCCTCTGTTTCCTTTTAACTGTATGCTGTAATACTGAAGCACAGCTCCAATTGCCTGGTTACTGAATTCTTGATCTATATATTATTCTTGAGAATAACCTAGAATTAAACAAACAAAAACATTTCTCAGAGCTAACAGAAAGAACGGAGGGATTGGGTCACTAATCATAGAGTCATAGAACTGGAAGTAATCTTGAAAGGTCATCAAGCATAGTCCCCAGCACTCATGGCAGTGCCAAGCACCAACTAGATCAGTGCTTTTCAAACTCCAGGTCCTGACCCAGTACTGAGTCATAGAATGTCAGTCACTGCGGCTATGTCTGTACTACAAGGTTTTTGCATAAAATGGTTGTTTTTGCACAAAAACTGGCAGAGATTCCACACCTTGAGCGTGTTTTTGCACACACAAAAAAAATTACAGTAAATCGACAGGACAGAGGGCTTTTGCCAGTAGAGTTATGCCTTTTCCCACAAGGAATAACTCCTTTTTGCGCTACAGCTCGTGCACCAAAAGGCACGTGTGGACGCTCCGCCAGGGTTTCTTGCACAAAAAGAGCCTATCAGAAAAAGCACAGGTGCTCTGATGGCCATTCATAGAATGGCCATCAGAGCTTTCTTGAGCAAGAGTCTCTTCCACAAAAGATTTCTTGTGCAAGATTTCTTCTGTAAAAAACTTCTTGCGCAAAAACTCTGCAGTGTAGACAAAGCCTAGGTCTCGTTGCAGGGTGATCAGTGGAGGTGCTACTGCAGGTTACCTACGTATCTCCTCAGAAGTGGCCAGCAGTGGGCCTGGCTCCTAGGTGTGTGTGTATGGGGAAAATAGCACACGCACTGCCCATGCCCTGAGCACTAGCTCCACACTCCCACTGGCTGGGAACCTGCTGTTGGCTGCTTCTGGGGTGCAACATGGTCTGTGTTGCCAAGACAAGCAGGAACCCTGCCTTAGATCCCCTACTTCACTTCTGACTGGAAGCTGCTTGAGGTAAGCCTCTTCTGCCTTAGCCCTGACCCCTCCCCCCAAGCCGAAGCTCTCAGACTCAGCACCACCCGGGAGCCCACACTTTAGTCAAATTATGTTGGGTCGCAGGCATCAACAATTAAACTGGGTCATGGAAAAATATATATGAAAACCACTGATGTAGATCATCCGCTGCTCTTAAAAATCTTCAGTGATGGAGATTCCACAACCTCCTTAGGCAATTTATTCCAATGATGGGAGGTTTTTCCTAATTTCCAACCTAAACCTCCCTTGCTATAATTCAAGACCATTGTTACTTGTCCTATTGTCAGAAGTTAAGGAGAATAATTTTGCTCTTTTTTAGGAATTTGAAAACTGTTATCATGTCCTCTCTCAGTCTTCTCTTTTCCAGACTAAACAAACCCAGTTCTTTCAATCTTCCCTTATAGGTCATGTTTTCTAGACTTTTAATTAATTTTGTTGCTCCTCTCTAAACTTTTTCCAATTTCTCTACATCTTTCTTAAAATGTGTTTACCCAGAAATGGACACAATATTCCAGCAGAGGCGTAATCAGCCCTAATATTTTCTTTTCTTCTTCTCTTCCTTCCTCCATTAAGAATACCTTTAACTGGGTATATTTAATACATTTAAATAGTTAGTTGGGGTGAGATTGTTTAAACTGTATTTAAAATGTTTGTGAGATTTTGCATTTTAATGTTTATTGCTTCTTGCAACAATTTAGTTTATGGTAGACAAACACAATTTATGATAGAAAACTGCCATGTATATCTGTAACATGAAGAGGCGAAAACAAAGTCTCCATTAGAATTACAGAACAAAAACCCATTAAACAAAATTCTGACCCTACAAGAAAAGAATCTTGTCTAGAGGTCCAAAGCAGGATCCTACCCTGCATCATGGAACCGCTGGTTTAAAGTTCCTGCTGTACCAGATACTTCCTGGATGACACTGGACAAATCATTTCGCCTCCCCATTCTTAATCTAGAAAATGGGAGTGATAGGAAAATGCTCTCTCACAGGGATGTTGGAGGCTACACGAAAGACTACACTGTAAGACACTCAAATTCTATAGTAATGTTGGCTATATAAATACCTCAGGTGTGAATGGAATACTGCTTACTAAGATGGAGACAGGATGTGCAACTGAGCACTTTTTCACCACATTATACAATGGAATGACAGTGGTGCTGGTGTAGTTGGGGCTTTTTGTAACTGTGGAAGGGATGGGAAAACTTCTCTTCATATTTGTAGACAATATGCAGTATAGTAGTTAAGAACTATGGGTATGTCTACACTACCCCGCTAGTTCGAACTAGCGGGGTAATGTAGGCATACCGCAATTGCAAATGAAGCCCGGGATTTGAATTTCCCGGGCTTCATTTGCATAAGCGGGGCGCCGCCATTTTTAAATCCCCGCTCGTTCGAACCCCGTGCCGCGCGGCTACACGCGGCACGAACTAGGTGGTTCGAACTAGGCTTCCTAGTTCGAACTACTGTTACTCCTCATTCCACGAGGAGGTAGCAAAAAATTCTTAATTTTTACAAGAAGTTTATTTTGGGGGTGATGGGAGTAAAATACTGTATTCGAGTGTGTCCAGAAAGAACACTAACTTACTGCTCAGATTCTTCCTTTTATTCCATGCCAGCTTTGTATGACAGGTACTGATTTCTAGATTTTTGACTTGAAAAAATAGCTCCCAATTTTGATGTGGCAAATCCCTTAGTTTCAAAGTGCTTTTCTTTCTTGTGGTAGGCACACTGACATTTACCAAGCGATGTGCACTCTCCACTCCTGTTGCAATCGGTGCTCCGCACCTGGGAAGAGATGCTCAACCCCTGACAGGTTTGAGCCAAAGGCACGAGCAATGAATAATCTCACCTACGACATGTGATTTTGTTGTGTATTCTGCTGCTGTTGCTGCTGCTGAATTAGCAGTTGCTGCTGCTGTCGGCGTCGTGCTGTCCTGAGTTTTTCAAAACGAGCCTCCATCTCTTCCAGCACTTTGGGAGTGTAGCGCACAACCAACTTTACACTATTTTTAGCAGCCTTCAGAAGCTCCACTGCCTTTTCATGGTGCTCTCCTTCCACACTCTGCAACAAGGGGAACAGAGAGAGTTCTAAAGATGTAGGTTTCATCCAGAGTCCTGTCCTCTTCTTGTATTTGTCACAGAAAGAGAGTCAGTGGCTTAAGATATCTATATTTTAGGCTTTTCAAGTGGTCATTTGGGGAAAAAATGGAAATGTAGCCAGGGTTGATGGATTATCTCTCTTTGTATTTTAAATACCGTGTCTATTTGTATCTGAAAATATGAAAATGAGCATATTTTCTGACTTATACAAAAAACAGGGGCTGAGGTGGAGGGTGGGAAAAGTTTTGTAAATATACAAACCCAAATAATGTAAAAACAACTGAATTTAAGAAAAGGTTGACAAATCTTTCCTGTGGTTGCCAAATAAGAGGATGGAATACAGTGAGTGTGAAAACTTAACATAGGTGAGATGCGAGCAGGCTGGAAATTCAGGACTGGCTCACTAGCCTCTCATTTCTAAAGCACTGATACTGCATGGAGCTCAGTGTGATAAGTAAGCACCTGTTTAACTTCAAATAACATGCATAAATCACATCCTTTTTTTGAACAGGAGTTAGTATCATAAATGCAGACCCCTTCCAGTAGTGACTGTTAGGTAGCCTATGCAAAATAAGCTAGTACTCTGCATCCAGTCAGTAACAGACAGGCATATGTGCTGCAATGGGAACTTCATTGCATCTGCAAGAGTAAGCCAGAAAGCCAAGGGGTGAAGGATGGACGAGGGATCTTAGTTTCCATAATCTAACTCATGAGCAAATCCTTCTCATGCAGTCACAATGAAGCCTCTTAGACTTGTCCATGTGAGTGCAGAGTTATTAATATAGTTAAGTCAGTGGTGGGTAACCTGCAGCCCATCGGGGTTCTATATGTAGCCACAAGACATTTTACTGACTATTGCCCTTGCAGAGAGTTGCCAGATTCCACTGGTTTCTGTCTATGCTTTGCATACCAGTATTACTAGAGTAACATGCACAGAAAATGAGGGCACATGAAGTGAGGTGTGGGCTGATTGCACACAACACTGACCGGGTGCTCTCTCTGCATCCAAAGTGCTGCTACAGTTCAATTAGCACTCCCCACAAATTCTAGGTACACAAGTAAAGTTAGCAAAACTACCCTATTCCAGGAGACTGTTTTGGTTACGACAAGCTTACATCCCAGTCAGATGAAGGAGAGCCACTGATGTGGCCCAATCACTAGTTAAGGTGCTTCATCGATTTAAGTGTTTACAAAATCATAAACTAGCCTGTTACTCCATAGAGGTCACATCTTTTCCCCCACTGGGTTTGAGAGTCTAGGCCCCATCCTGCATGTCTGCTCTGCAATTTTATAGCCCTGAAGCTTTAAACCTGCAAGCCCAAGTTAGCTGACCTAGGCTCTGACATTTGGTGATGCAGGTTTTTTAATCACAATTGTAGACATGCCACGGTGCTAAGCTGTATTTATGATGGACTTAACTGTCTGAAAACAGAGTTTGAACTTGGTTTTAAAAATACTGCAGTTTTAGCTAAATTTTGCAGTAACAGACTGTCTTTCGGTGTGATGGTGTGTGTGTGTTGATACGAAAAAAAAAGATGAGTGATTGTGGTGAGTTGTGTGTGTGGCACAAGTGTATGTGAAACAAATTCATGGTTTGTGAAATCCAGACATTTTAAGTATAACATACACATGAAAGAAAAATAGCTTTCTGATTTTTTATGATATATGAAGATGGCTTTTTTCGTTACTATTCTGTTGGGATGTTTACCTGGTTTCCTGGAAGACTGTAAAGGGTGAGTGGAGAACTTCTGCTATCTATGAATTGAAACCTAACTGAGAGAAGTGGGGGGCTTGTTTTTTTTTTTTTTTTTGTAATTCAGCCTATTTGAAACTACTGTTTTTGTTAGCTCCCATTTAACTTTCATACCCAACACCGGTTCAGAGGAAAGCTCTTCTGCTAAACACTGAATACCTTCTTCAATAAAGAGCCAAGAAGCCCCATCTCTGGATTCTTCAGAAAATAAAACTGGGGAGATGAGACATTAGTGACATTACTAAACTTAAAAACAAAGTAGAAATTTTGTTGAAGCTTCCTCTATATACAGTTACACTTAAAAGGAGACTAACCCAATTTCCATCCCCTGACCTGCCAACATTGAAGTCAGTGTTAAAAAAGTAGATTCCAGTGTCTCCTTCCCCATTAGCTTATTTGGAATGTAGGCTTGAGCACAGTGAATTCTCTTAACTAAGTATTGTGAAGCAATCACTAATATATTCCTTTTCAATTCCCTGTAATTCTCTACCCCTTTTCTCCAAACCCTTCTTTCGCTGTCTTTCAATTCTGAATTACAGACTTCCAGTCTTCACAAGACATGATATCTAGTCCTTAGAACAAATGACTAATAATGCCTATTTGTGAGAGAAAGCTAGGTCTTCTGTCAGTGAAGTTTCATGCAGTCCCTTAAAAGTGGTACTTTAACTTTATTTGTGGTAGAGAACAGAGGAAAATAAAGGAATGAGGGAGAAAACATACTAACAATTGAAAGATCTTAGAGCCCTGATAAAGGGCAAAATTCTCGTCAGATTAATACATACCTCCCTTTCTCTCAAAATTGACTTGTATTAAGTGATATCTGCTGTGAAATGAAATATACTCCCAAATGTGTTTAATTTCTGATTTGAATGCTTACATTGTTTTAAAATGGTAGGTCTTCAAAAGCAGAGGTGATTTCTCTGAAAGAGGTTTTTCAATTTTTTTCCACTAAATTGCTTGACTGGAGTACATTTCAGGAGTGCAAATTGTTCTACACATTAGGTGGAATGGTGGAGTTCTGTAATGATAGATGATTGTCATATACGTTCCAACAAACAAAAGTGTCTTGGTGCAAAAACCTACAACCAAGTTCTTCATGTGGATTTTAGACCTTTTTTAAATGAATGTTTTTTCATAAAAGAAAATAAATGAAAAAGCTTTGTCACACAGTATATTGAAGCATGTATGTGTTATGCTATTTAAAAGGAAACTATACACATATGCCACAAATATCCAAAGAGTAGAAGAAGCACTAATAAAACTCCAACATTGCAAGAATATTTTGGCAGCATTTTAGGGACATCAGATATTAGAAGAAAAAATTGCTGGTTTTTGTCACTTTTAATAGATTGTGAATACTGTATGTAACATGGCAGAACAAATATGAATTACTTCTGCTGTGGGACACTATGAGATAGAACTATCAAAGCAGAAGATGCCAAAAGCAGTCATATAACATGACTTCAGTGAAATGTGTAACACAATCAATATTGCTGGTCCTTGAACCTTTTGCTAGCAGAAAACATAACTTAATATAGGGTCCAGCACAGGAGTTACAACAACAACATATTTGAAAAATACTGTCCCAAACAAAAAATAAACAGATTAACTGATGGGGCATGTGTATTTTAAAAATGTGAACATGCTTCAGAAAGCACTATTTTCCAAGTAAGGGGGATGATGATTATCATTTCAGGTGCTTAAATGATAAGGTAAGTCCATTCTGTATTTTGCAGCCAGAGTGAGAAAACACCTTGAACTCACTAACTAAACCCCTTCAGTGTAGTGTCAGATGCATGGCCATATGTTTCTGAAGTACAGATTCTTCTAAATCTCTTCCAGAACCCTCCCACTGCAAGAGCTTAAAATAGCATTAAAGTTGTGTGACCAAGTACACTTTTTAGCTCTTGTTGTGATTATGGTAATACAAATCTGCTGAACATCCACAGATAAAGAAAGTAATTTGCAGAACACAGAATTCCACTATAAATGCTTGAAAAATGATTAGGTGAGAATATTTTTACATAAGAACCAGTATACAGTTGATATTTCTAATGCACAAAACAATCAGCATTCAAATGGAAAACAATGTATAAATAGGGCATTTAAAAACTTATCTGAAAGACAATTTAAATGTACAAACCAAAATTTTGCTGAGATATTGAAGTTTGATTTTTTCCAAAGCTATCCATTTATTTTAATAAACTGAATTCCAGCCATGGAGAATGTACTTAGTGCTTATTGTGCTAGCTATATAATAAATCATTACTATGTGATGTAGTCATATTGATAATTGTAAAGTGACTTCTGTTCTTGTAACTAATCACATGCAGCTTTGCATCCTTCTGCATGTCACTTTCTTCCTAATGAATTATGGTCAATATGAATAGGCATCAGCACTGAGCCCCATAGCACTTAACACTATCTATATTTACCAAGCAGCAATTTTTTTACTTCCCTGGTGTTATTTATAATAGGCAGTAAAGCACATAGCAAGTAGCATATCTTAACTAGCATGCAAGTATTAAACATTTATTTTGTTTTTAAAGAGGATGGATGGTTATAGATGGTGCAGGAAGCAATAGGGCTTATGCCTGTATAATGGACTCAACAAGATTGTGAACATCCACTTCTCACACCAATTACAACACTTTATTGGAATTCATAGTTGCTCATTTTTGGGCTCTCTCTAATTGTATAAAGTCCACCAGCTTAACACCATTTTCTTCTAGTTCATAATGAGGGGCTTAACCCTGCTTCTGTAACCACTAGGGGCGGATTTGAACCTGGGACTGCTGAAACTTAGTATAGGATCCTCTACCCTTTGAGCTAAAAGCTGGCGGGCTCTCAGCCCATGTTGTAGAGGTCTCTTGTTCTTATCTGTTGCAGTAGTCTAGGTGCCCCTGCGTGGAACAGTGAAACACAGTTGGTCTATATCTACACTGCAGAGTTTTTGCACAAAAATGGCTGTTTTTGCACAAAATTCACACAAAAAAAGGCATATATGCATGGACAACAGGGGTTCCTTGCACAAGAAACCCCTATCGGAAAAAGCACAGGTGCTCTTATGGCCATTCTGTGAATAGCCATCAGAGCTTTCTTGTGCAAGAGCATCCATGGCAGTGTGGACGCTCTCTTGCGCAAAAGCATATGGCAGTGCGGATGCACCCTTGCGCAAGAACTTTTTGTGGAAGAGCTCTTCCGCAAAAAGTTCTTGCGCAAGAAGCCTGCAGTGTAGACGTAGCCTAGGAGTGTGGGTTACACTTCCATTCAAGTCAATTGTAAAACTCACATGGATTGAGTAAATCAAAAAAAGCAGTCATGTAGCACTTTTAAGACTAACAAGATGGTTTATTAAGTGATGAGCTTTCATGGGGCAGACCCACTTCTTCAGATCATATTCTGAAAGTGAATTGCATGACCATTATATAACAGAGGGATACAATGAAGAAGTAAACAAATTATACAGTAATGAATCAGCTACAAAAGGTGGGGGTGAGGGGAGTAGGAAGAGACAAGGAAGGAGGAAATTGCTTATTGTAAGAGTCAATTAAGTGGCTAATCTGGAGTTACTACGAATATCAAAAGGTAGAGAGGCTGTCTTTGTAATGTGTAAGGTAATTATCATCTAAATTAAGGCCCATTTGGATTGAGTAGTGCAGGATAAAGACCTAATAAATTATTACATTACTAAGTAGGTAACTTCTTCCCATCATAGACCTTAGTTCAGGTATTATCAACTAAAGCTAAGTTCAAGGTGAGTTCAGCTACACCTAACACCATTACTGCACTTGGTTTGAATGCTTCTGTGCCTGCTGTCACTCTTAAATTCACAAATTTGGCCAGAAGGGACCATTAGATCATCTAGTCTGACCTCCTGTATATCACTGTGTTAAGCCTAATAACAGTTGTTTAACTAAAGCATAATAAAAGGCTATTTAACACCCTACTTGGCTTCCTCTCTCTTTGTTAATTAACCAGAGAACGGCAAAGAGAAGGATAGAGTCAGAATATACATTTTTTTTTTTAAATCTTAAAGCATTGGCAGGTTCCATCAAGCAGAATAAAAGTAAAAGACATACTGGAGAGATAACAATAGGCAAAGGAATTGCAGATATTATACAGGGAAGCACGGTCATGACTATACATAGGCACATATAATTATAGTAAAAAGCCCCATCTCAATTGCAGACAAGGAAAAGGAATCTGATTACTGGGCAAGCAGGCAAAGTGAGGTAACCTATTTGAGGTCAAGGTCTGTAAGTAAAGATGCTGGATGAAAATTAGTTTTTTTCTATACTTATGCTGTAGTCTCTAATATCTAACAGTAGGTACTAGATAATGACAGCTATGTCTGTGTCCTGGCTGAGCCATTTGTAGGGATTACTCCCTGACTTGGGGAAGAATACTTTACTCCTCAGCATAATGATAAAGTATTTTTTTAAACTTCTCATGAGACAATTTAAGCAACACCAACCAATCATGCTAGAATAAGTAATACAAGTAATACAAGTTCAGCCCTAGTTTTATATTGATAATTATAAAGTTGGATAACCACCAACATGAGCATAAGCAAGCTGCAGATATCTCATTTTCATTTCATGTTCCACTGCTGATCCATCTGCTGTACTGCACCTGCTGTATATTATTTGCTTCATCTCAGATACAGGTGACCTACTCACAGTGAACAATAGGTTAGCTAAAGTTAGCCCCTTTTTCATCTGTTCTTGAGTTTTCTGTGAACAGATCACTAATTTCATTGTTTATTGTTTCAAATTATTTTAGAATTATTTTGTGAGGATATAATTCAGCATTTGGATAGCTTGTGAATTGTTAGCAACAGGTATTGTTTCAAATTTTCAACATTTATAATTCAAAATAGAGGTTTTTTTCATTAGGTTAAGTATTCTACCAGAACCTGTAAAGTTGATTGGTCTCTGGTGTAGCTCTTTTATTTAGGAAATCATATTTTCCCTCCCTACTGCGTAGGGATGATTAGCAAAATGTTTACATTTTGCAAAAATTTTCCACTCTGTAGGGGGACAAAGCTGAGACCTTTAGACATTCTCTCTCTCATGGCCTGGTGGGTAGGATACTTGGGATATCATGGTTCAAGTTTCTGTTCCAAATCAGACGGGGCCAGCACTTGAACCCGTCTCTCCCACATACAAAGTGGTGTCCCAGTCCCAAGACTATTAGCTAGTCTCTTGCTTGTTTTTTTTAACTATAAATTCCCATCCTTGACTTGAGAAACCATCCTTAAAAAACTACTATATTCCCACACAAAAGTTCAGTTTCAATGAGCTGTCATTTTCCATTTGAAAAACAAACAAACAAACATTTAATCAACAGAATTCCCAATTAGCTCTAGTTGCTGATGCTTTATTATTCCTTACCATTTTGCCATGAACAGAAAATTAAGCTGAATCCTCAGGCTTGTTATGAATCAGTTTGGGGTGTGAGCCAAATGTCTAATTTCCACAGGGAGGTGATGGTCAATGGGAGATTTGTATGGAAGTACTGGGTGCATAAGGAATGTAGGATTTTAGTCCTCTGTAAGAATATAGTGTTTCTAGGCCAGAAGCATGCTATTTGAGTGTGTCATAATATTTTAATATTTTACAAAATCTACTAACTGACATTTCACCTCTGCCTCATGGATTTTAATGGGGCCATGCAGAGGGCAAGTCTGTAACAGAATACTTAACTTATGCCACAATGATTTCATGTTTTATGATGACTACTACACTGAAAATTTGCCCTATTCTGATGACAAAAATTGTAACATGAAGAGAAAATATGTTGTAAGCAACTGTAAGAATAAGAAACAGTGTAACTCTAACAAACTAATAAGTCTTTAGATTTTTTTAAAAAATTGTTTAAAAGGCATACATTCTGACCATGGACTTTATGTTATCACTTTCAAAAACTGCAGTGCAGTAAGTTTACTCTTCTCCTGGTATACCACACATAGGAGAAGTGCATCAAATATATGATAAGAAGTTATGGGGCAGAACTTGTCCCAGAGACAGTAGGGCACTGATTTTCCTCCTCTGTACCTTGCTATTCCAGTTCTGCTGTTTGGAGTCCAAAATGAAACTATTGCAAAGCAACTATATAAAATTACACTTTTTTACTTTACACATCTGCACTCTGTATGCATTTGCTGATTTAAGTGACAAAAATAACACTGCAGAATAACACAAGTGAAAGAGAATGAGCTGGATTTTATTCTTCATTGTGAATCATCAACAAAATTGTTTACTTAGCTCCTTTTTAATTATAATTCTACAAAGCCACAGAAGGCCATATGACTATACAAATGTCACAGAAGGCCTAATCTGGCCTGCAGGACTGTTACTGGCTATGAAGTACAAGAAGAAAAGAGCCCAGTTTAACTCTCCAATTGAAGCACTGGCAATGACAGAAGGTATCTTTTTACTAAATGAATGTACAGTAAACTTCCGATAATCTGACACCTTTGGGACCCACAGGGTGCCGGATTATTGGATATGCTGGAGTACCGGAAGGGGAGGCTATGAAGGGTAGTGGGGGGAGGGGTCGGCGGGGAACTGCGCAGCATGGGCAGCACTCCAGCTGCTCTGCCCCCAGCTTCCCCAAGTCTGCCGCTGCCCTGACCAGGGGCGGACTTGGGGAAGCTCTGCCCCTGGCTTCCCCAAGTCCGCTGCTGGTCAGTTTCAGCAGCACCGGACTTGGGAAAGCCGGGGGCAGAGCAGCTGGGATGCTCTGCCCCACAGCTTCCCCAAGTCTGCTGCTCATCAGTTTCAGCAGCGGTGGACTTGGGGAAGCCGGCAGGCGGAGCAGCTGGAGTGCTGTCGGGTTGGTCCCACAGCGCCGCTAAGGTGAGGGGTGGGGCTGCGGGACCAACCCGGCACCACCCCAGCTACTCTGCCCCACGCTTCTCCGAGTCTGGCGCTGCTGAAACTGACCAGCGTTGGACTTGGGGAAGCCGGGGACAGAGCAGCTCCAATTGTCCGTCTGGTCAGTGCACTTCCGGGTTCCAATTGGTGACGGACTATCGGGAGTGCCGGACCACTAGATGCCGAACAACTGGAGTTTTACTGTACTTTTTTGCAGAAATGGAGACAATAAACAATGGAACTCCGTAAGGATATTTTTAGAGGTGAGCCACACTGAAAGATGAAACTAACCAACCAGCAAAAGAGGTGATGGCACACCATCCTTTAGTTTACTGTAAATGCCAGCATTTTAAACCTTCATTTTGAAAAATAAAATCTCACATGAAAAAGAAAATCACTCTAAACTTTTCACATACCACTCCATTAACAGAAAGCAGCTGGTCTCCCCGCTTGAGTCCTCCATGTCTTTCTGCCACCCCTCCAGGAATGATACGAGAAATATATATAGGAGAGTTTTGTTCCTTTCCTCCCATCACATTAAAGCCAAGACCTTCATCAGTCTTTGGCAGCTCTACTACTCGAGGGTGTGAATGGCCTTCACTTGCTGCAAAAGCAGCAACTGTTGCCTGGAAAAAAAGAGAGTTATTTGGCCATGTAATGAGATTACAGTTAAACCCTGTTGTCTGTTTTGCAGAAAGAATTTGTTCACATGAAAATAATATTTTGAAATTCTATCAAAGATCTGAAAGCACTTTATAAACATTAAGTTTCAAATCATTCCTTTGAAATACTTGGGTAAATAAGCACTGAGAAATTAAGCGACTTGCTCAGCATCACACAGAAATATATGTTAAAAGGCAGGATTGCAAGTCATCTGTTCTAACTCTCTAACACATTACTTCTTATTTTAAAGCTATTTTTGTCACTCCGTTTTTTCCTTACTGGTGTGCAAAATAATGATATGACATTCTGCTGTTCTTTTAGTTTATGTAACTTGGATAAAGTTAATTGTTTCCCCCAACCCAGTATGTATGGGACTGATTATTTGGTTTATTCTTCACCAAAACAACAACAACAACAAAAAGAAATTATTCTTCACCAAAACAACAACAACAACAACAAAAAGAAAATCCTGATGAAGGATATTTTCATTTAGATTATTTTATTAAATAGCCTCAATAAAATCTTTCTGTTGAATGAAGCAATGATAGATTAATATCTTTTACAACAGGGACAAGTCCTTTTATACTATATCTGCATTTTATATAGATATGTCTTGAAAATTAATGTTATATAATCTTCAGATTACGGAAATATAAAATGAATTAAAAAAACCTAAATAGCAGCTCTTACTCTATAAAAATTACAAAAAGGTAAGACATTGTAAATCTTGTATGAAGAATCTTTCACTAGCAATTGTCTCTTTTTAGTTGTAGCCCCTGGTAAAGCATTAAGTAAACATTAAAACAATTATCTCTACTTTTCAACATATCCTCATACTTAAAATTACTGCAGTAGTTCTACATAATATCAATGCTTGTTCAGCATTCTAATGTTTATGCTTAATAGAAGCTAGTAGATGATATGAATATAATGGATCATTCTCAGTTATATGTACTTGCTCATGCAAACCTTGTCATCATGCATACATTAAATGTCAGACATGAATGCACTAGGAAAATGCAATGCAGACAGCCCAGAAATAACCAGGAAGTATTGCGATATTCAAACATTGCTCTGTAACCCTGCTGTTCTATATGAATAAGAAATGAGAATGGCAAACACTATTCAGAATGTTTTACCCTTTTTATACCACATAGCAATCATTTTTGTGTTTATCTTCAGTGTCAACAAATCATGATCTAACATAATTTTCTACATTCAGCAGTAGAACCTTTACAAATCTACATTGTTCATTTGAACTGTCAATTAGAAAAGGTTAACTCATAAGAAATAAGCTTATGGTAATAAGCCTAATTCAATATAACTAAAATGAAATGAAAAACCAAAATGTAGGAAAAATCTAATATTTTAGTTTACTGTACAATAGGCTAATTATTTTAAATGTACTGGTTTAACTGGAACATTTTTTTCTGAAATGCTATAGGTATCTTTGATAGCAAATTTCTGATCTTTGTCTTTTTATTAGTGTGTTAGGAGGTTTTTTATTTGCCCTTTCTCCCTACATTTACAAGGAAGTAATAAAAATAAAAGCCAGAGGATTTTTGCCATTGACTTCACTGGGATCTTAATGAATTCTTTTCCTGAAAAATACCATGGGTTTCCTTGAACACACTTACTACATGATATCTACATAACCCATTTAGCAAGTGGAGGGTAATCCTGTGTGCCAAATAGTAATGGAAGGAGCTAGTTCTGTGATGAAGCCTTGTAAGAAGCAATTATTTTTGTTCATGCACTAAAAACACAAATTGGGTTACATAATGGGTGCAAATAGGATTCTTTAATCAATACAGAGGAATTCACATGTAGTTACCACACAGACTTATCAGACTTACATACTAGGACCCTGTTTTTCAGAAGTGATGGGCACCCAGAGCTCCCATTGACTTCAACTGGAGTCTTGTGTGCTCAACATCTCTGAAAATCCTACACGCACTGATTGGAGGCTAGACCACTTGCTACTTGGATGAGCCCTATAAGAGAATTTGTCATAAAAATATTGATATTCCAGGTTTAATTCTACAGAATGAACTAGTAGATTTGCTTTTGCAAACTAATTTTTCAATAAACCACCAGATCCCATGATATCATTCTCTTTTCTTAAGCTACAGAAGCAGCATAAAGGTTAAATTTGCCATTAGGATTGTTACCTGGGAAGTAGCACTGGTTCTAGACTCTGGGCTGCCACTGATGTCTAAATTTTCTTACAGAGCACACACGAATACCTGAAACACACACGCGCACAGTCAATTACTAGGTCACTTTGGTAACATGTACTTCAATAGTTACACGGGTCTTACCTTTGCAGTGGCTCTGGCACGGAATTCTGGGCAGCCATTAACCGTTATGGTTTCATGCATATATTGGTATACCTAAAATGTGTGCGGAAACAAGGAAGAATTAATTATAGGGAACAAACAAAAACTTAATTTTATTTTACCCTACACAGGATATACTCTTTCAATCATAATATGGTTTCATTAATGTTCCCTTAGTACAATTAAAGAATCCGGTGTTCGTTACCCTAGTTATACATTTTGTTCTCTTGAAGACATTCTTTGCGATCCTTTCTCTGAACTCCCAAAATTGCTCTCTACCTATCTACATGCCTACAATTTTACAGAGTCAGTCCCTATCCTACCACTGGCCACCTTCTGCCCATGTCTGCCTTGAACTGTGCCCATTGCCTCTGACAGGAATTTGATGAATTCTGTGACCTCTGAACCCTCTCATGAACTGGGAAGTCAGGAGGTGAAATAATTAAAAAAAAACCTTTCTTAGTAGGGTCTGCGGTGGGAAGTCCACATTAAATGTTGTGGAATTTAAGTGTACAATGTGTGCATAGTCATTCAGTGCTGTCTAAGCTCGATGGTGCTGAATTTAATTTTTGCTTTAACCTTTTGGCACAAATGGTGCAGAGTAAGGGAGAACAATCTGGGTGATAAATTAGGAATGGTGTAATTATTTTCTGTGTAATGTCTGCAAGAAAATATTTTTTAGCCACAAGTAACTCTTAGCACTTCTCTTACAAATCTATAGGTTTTATCAATTCTTGTAATTTGTTTTGAGCAAGAATTACAAAATTCAAAAGGAGTGTCTTATTTCTAGTACACTCAATTAGTATCTCTTGTGGCTTATCTGTTTTGAAAGAATCAGTTGGCCCCTAAATGTTTCCAGCTATGCTGGAAAAGATCGACAAAACGCCCTTTCTGCATCTGATACACAATTCTGATACACTTTTTTTTAAATAAAAGTGGCCTTTTTTGAAAAAACTTCACCTGCGTCTAGACTGATGTCACATTCTTTCAAAATTAAATCGAAAGAAAACAGCGTTTTTTTCTACAGCAGTAAGCCTCATTTTACAAGGAAGAACGCCTTTTTTCGAAACAGGTCTTTTGAAAAAAGGAACTCTTGAATGCAAACAGGGCTTTTTCAAAAGAGAGCATCCAGATTGCCTGGGTACTCTCTTTCAAAAAAGTGGATCGCTTTTTCAAAAAAAGTTGTGGCTGTCTAGTCAATCTCTTTCGAAAGAAGCTTTTTTGAAAGATTCTTTTGAAAAAGCTTCTTTCGAAAGAAGAGTGTAGTCTAGATGTATCCCAAGTTTAGGTTTGGAGCAGGCTTTTGGTTTTTTCTTATGAGAGGTACAGCTGCCACCATGAAGACGGGAGAATATAATGTGCAAGTAGGTGGAAATCAAGGGAAAGGCAAAATGAGGGAATAGGAAACCCAACAGATAATTGAAATTTTGTATAGCAGACAAATGTACCAGAATGGAGAATTAATAGATTATCACCAGCATAGAAACCACAGTAGGGCTGGTTTCTGGGCTACTGAAAACTAGGTTTAATGGGGATAAAGCAGACTAGGGGAATAGGATGAAGCCTTTTGTCCATCTCTTGATAGGCTGAAATCCTGACTCTGTTGAAATAAATGGAAAAGCTTACATCGATCTCAGTACGCAGACTAGGGGAATAGGATGAAGCCTTGTGTCCATCTCTTGATAGGCTGCAATCCTGACTCCGTTGAAATAAATGGAAAAGCTTACAACAATCTCAGTAAAGCCAAGATACTACCCTAACATTTAAAAATAAATAAATAATATCCAAGTACTGAGATCATTGACTCAGTAATCCTTAAACTTCCTTTTTTGTTTACACTGGGTATAATGGGTTAAACCTACATAATCGGCATTGATTTAGGTAGCACAGTTTAGTGCTTCCAAATATTAAGCTGTAAAAATTCATTAGAACCTCAGTTACAAACACCTTGGAAACAGAGGTTGTTTGTAACTCTGAAATATTCGTAATTCTAAACAAAACATTATGGTGGTTCTTTCAAAAGTTTACAAATGAACATTAACTTAATACAACTTTGAAGCTTTACTTTGCAGAAGAAAATGCTGCTTTCCTTTTTTTAACATAGTACTATGCTATACTTGGTTTCTTTATCTCTGTTGCTGCCTGATTGCAAACTTCCTGTTCCAAATGAGGTGTATGGTTGACTGGTCAGCTCATAACTCTGAGGTTCTACTGTATAAGATTTACCATACCAGACTGAAATACTGCCTCGCTTCAGCTGTCCAGCGTACTGTTGCTTTAAAACCACTGAGCCAATTACACAATGCTGTATGTTCTTGACACCCACATATCTGTTTTATCAGAAGCATGAGATCTGATTAGCCTTATAATTGTTTGCACAGCCACATGCGGGTCACAAATTAACAATATATGAGTGACTTGGAGATTTATGATTACAGTGAATTATGTTGAAAATTAACCACAGTATTCTATCAAGATAAGCCATGAGAAGTTATCTGAAACATTGATTATGTAGTTTGGACAAGCCAAAGGGTGGTAGGTATTAAAAAAAAATCAGCAGTTATCAAATGGAACTGATTAATTCAGCAATATGTATATATCAGCATGTATGTGGCAGGTTGACACAGAAGTTACTTAAATAAACGCCGTAGTGATGAGAGAATAAGATGCATGTATGTGGCAGGTTGACACAGAAGTTACTTAAATAAACGCCGTAGTGGTGAGAGAATAAGATTTTTAGAATCTAATCTATCTATCTATCTAATTTCTGCAGTCATGTGAAAGCATGAATTTCAAATCTTTCCATTCACTAAGAATTTTTTTTAAATTAGCAAATTTAAGATGGTGTTGTCTAAATAATTGCCAGTATCACCATGGTGACCATAATATCTGCAATACAGTTGAATTTGGACAGGAATTTCTCTAGTAATTTAAAACCCATTCACTATAAGCAATTGATGTTATTACCCTTGAATATCAGCTTGATGCAACACCAAATCCAATTTCCCCTACCCAATTATCACATAATGCTTAATATAAATTGAGATTATGAAAGAAATAAAATCTACATCTAAATGACTTTCACATTATTAAGTTAAACAAAACAATAAAAGGATTGTCTATACCTGTTCTAACAAGCCCTTGAAGCTTTAAGTCTCTTAGGGTATGTCTACACTACAGCACTAATTCGAACTAACTTAATTCGAATTAGTTAAGTCGAACTAAGCTAATTTGAATTAGTGCATCTAGACCTAAAAACTAGTTCGAATTAGCATTGTGCTAATTCGAACTAGCATGTCCACATTAAGTGGACCCTGAACCGAGGTTAAGGATGGCCGGAAGCAGTGCCGGCAGGGCATCAAATGAGGACTTAGAGCGTGGAGCTGCTGTCTCAGGCTAGCCGAGGGCTGTGCTTAAAGGGACCCGACCTCCACCCTGGACGGACAGGTCTTAGGGGTTCCCCGCTTGCAAAGCAGTCCTGGCTTGGAGTGCCCTGAGTGCCCACACTCGGCACATCACAGCACACAGCCATCAGCCCGGCTGCACTTGCTGCAGGCTGCTATCCAGAGGGGGGTTCAATCAAGGGGCTTCAGGAGAGCTTCCACCCCGAGGAGCCCGCAGAGCCAGCCCATTCCTCCCTCACCTCCATCCACTTACCCCTCCCTAGTCCTCCTTCCTGATGTACAAAATAAAGGACATGTGTGTTCAAAAATAGAAGCTCTTTATTTAACAAAACTCGGGGAGACTGGGAAAAGGAGGTGGGAGAGGGA